ATCTTGAAGTCAGATTGTCTATTTTTCCGAGGCTGGTACGAATTAATTAAATTACACAGTCTTTCTTTATGTTCTGCATTTGAAATATGCGATAAATCAATCTCGTTGACAGAAATAGCATTCACCAGATGTGAAAGGTAATTAAAACGTCGAGCTACTTCCGCTTTCGGGACTTTTGTTTACATTAACAGAGACGCCAGACGATCGCGAAGGATCATAAGCATTCTTCAATGAGATAGCAATATTCAAATTTCCCATAACGCAACGCACGTTAGAATTTCGAGATGACTCAGCAGTTATCAAGCTTACATTACTTTTATTCCGATGAGAAATTATTTGAAGGCCATTCTCGGTAAAAGAGAAGTTAAACTGATTCAATACATCCAAACCTAATACAATTTGATTACATAACGACTTAACAACATAAATTTTCGTACGCAGTAAAAAACTATCAATTGAAATATCAGAAATAAAAAAGCCGATAGGGTACGTTTGTTTTGATTCAATTCCGTTTAATGTGATATCGCTACAATTTAAATTAGGAGAACCAATCTGCTTGTTGTAACTCTACGCTGCATATCGTTACATCTGAACCAGTGTCAACTAAACTATCAACTAAATGATTATTTATTTCTACAGTCTTCATAATTCTATCCTTGTCCAGGAAATTCGTTGTAATAAAGCTGCTTGTTGTGTTCGGGGGTTTCTGCTCTGGACAGTTTGTTGAATTTAATGCCCGAAACTTCTTAACATTTAATACATTTTACACCCTTTGATTTGTTTACACAATGCTTAGAATAATGCCCAAATTCCTGGCAATTAAAACATTTGACCTTATTAACGTTAGATTGATTTCGGTTTGATGACGAAAGCTTACTTCTATCTTTAACTTGAGTGTCTACTTTCGGTTTCGGATTTTTAAACTTATCATTGTCCGATCTCATCTTATCATAAATTTTAAGCCTTTGTTTAAATTCAGATATTGTTTCGCAACCATACAGTATAGTTTTCCTAACCACAGAATCGGGAATACCATCAATAACATATTTAATTAATGAAGCATCTTCAATGTTACCTCGCGAACATATTTCTTTCATTTTCAAAAAATACTCATCTAAAGATTCATTAGGCATTAATTTACGTTTACATAACATTTCATGCAACTCAGCAGAATTAAAAGCTTTACCATATTCAGATTTCAAAAGCTTTTTTAACTTACACCAGTCATTAACTTTAGGTTCACTCTGAATAAATAGTTTCGCTTTAACCTTTTAATGACTTTTAGCAAAAACTAATTTATGCAAATCACTCAATTTTAAAGAATTTATAACATCTTCAAATTCATCAATCCATTTATCAACATTTTCATATGCATTACCAGAAAAAGGATTAAAAATACTTTCAATATCAGAAAAACTAAGATGAGGTTTAAAATGATCTTGAATTGGAAGCTGCATACTGTTATTTACTTGAGACTCGTTAAAACCAGGATTGTCTCTTTGATTATCATCAAGCATTACTTCAGAAAATTTATTAATAGTTTCATCTTCAATATCACTATTTTCTTCATGCAAAATATTTTCAAATAATACAGATAAATCACATAGGAAAGAGACAATTCGGGTTACGACTTCCGTTTTTGAACCTTCTGAATTTATGCACACTACATTGCAAATTTTAATTAACTCATTCAAAGTAAAACTATTCTGCACTGCATCTATTTTCTTATTAAATTCTTCAGAATCTGGTTTAAATATAAAGCCAGAAATTCACGTAATCTTTTCCGGTTATTTCGATCTTCTCCATCAGTAAAAATAAGCTTATGCAAACTTTTGATTTCAGAACTTTTACGGTTCTTTAAAGCTGCTTCCAATTCTGGAATTTCTACTAACTTCATATTGGAAAGAAAGTTTTGTACTCACCCGACAGATGATCGTCGTCAATTGGGTAATCCACACTTTATACGAGTAATCCAATAAATCGAATAACTTGTGACAACAGTTCACTCAGTTCACAGTTCAAAGCACAGTTCTAGTACTCGCACGTTTTGGAATTCGAGGCCGCACGGTTGGTCGCCATATTTTTTTGTAGAATTTGACTTGATTCACAGCATGAGAGCACGAAGTAATATTTAAATGGTTTATTTAATATAAAGAAATGAAATTAATTAAGAAAAGTATATAAAGATGAAGTTAACGGTATGCAGGATTAACATAATGATGCACCAACAGTCCTTTTATAAACTCTTGAAGACGTGTGAGCCGTCTGCTCACGTCTGCCCTCCACTCTCGACCAGGTCTCAGTGCTGTCTGGGATGATTCTTACTGCGCTGGGTGATGCTATACTGATGACGTCATAATCCTGGTATTCTAATTCAGCATTGGACGTTGTGATTTCCTACATATATATCTGACACTTTTATGTGCTTAATTTTTATAGTCTTCTTGGAGGTAAAGTACGCACCTAAATCCTAAAAAAAATTATATTTATGAAAAGGCCATCAGAACGAAATTTAAGTTGTTGGCAGCAGGGAGATTTCAGCATCATATTAGCATACAACACTACCACGTTCTTCGTTCCAGAATAATTTTGCAAGAACTAGACGCTTCCTGAGTCATTGTTTTTTCTCTTTCTGAACATAATCGCTTCCAGAACTTACGCATTACTCTAAGCTAAAAGCCTTTTTTTTTTCGAAAGTCATTTATTTTTTCATGCTAAATCTAATGCTCAGTTATATTTTCTACAGTGAAAATAGCCTAGCGTAAATGCAGGAAACAGAAGAAATTTTGTTTAGTTTTGACTTCATATAGTTGGTAGATTATCTTACATAAAAATAATGTACTTCTTGCTACTGTTTACCTGTTATAAATAATCCATAAAGAAATTTTACCTTGAAATATTATGTTCTCCTTTTTGTAAATTCTATTAACCAAGAGAGAAAAGAAATAAAATTAGGCAATAAAACAACTATTTGGTGTATATTTTAATTTTGTTTGGTGTGAATCTTGGTTAATATATACGTCAAACAGAAGGTTGTTTCTTTGTCTAATTTTATTTTATAATAATTATTTTGATTACAAACGACATTTTTATTGTAGCCGAAGATAGACAATGGTAAAAATTTGTGGAAGATCAATGCAGCGTTCTTAACAAGTAAATTTATCTCAGATAATTTATAGAATGTGCAAAACCCATATAAAAAGAAATCATGATCTTAACACAATAAGCAAGAGGAATCATCTGAAATTTGATATTTTCCGTAATTTTAGTATCAGTTGCACAATTTCTTCATAATGAGATTGTGCAACAGATACACCAGTTGAACTTTGGCAGCGGAATGCACGCCCGTTCTGAATATGTAACATCAAAGTTTACTAAAAGGAAAATTATATTCGATACTGAACGTAAAATGAATTATTTTTATGAAATTCATTTGAAAAAATATATTGTAATTACTATATCTTTCTGAGAAAATGTCTTTGAAATATACGTTTCAGAAATTCAAATAAGCAAACTCATTTATTAGCACATTTATTAACTTTTCAAAGCGTAAAGGGGATTTTCTGCAAACATGATGCAGATGTTTTATATTTTTAAAATCAGTTCCAAAAACAAATAGTGGCTTTTGGCGGAACTGCAAGGCAGACTGCATTTAGCTCTCTTTAAACAAGGTGCATATAATTAGCAACAGTAATAAACAAAACAAATGTAATTAAGCAGAGATTTATGGGGCTTGTTAAATGAAGAATTTAATTGCGTTTCAAATTCAGGTTTAATAAATAGCATATTTAGTTTCTCTATTTATCCTTGCTGAACATTTAGCATCAGTGAATATAATATATTTAATAATTTTAATTCGTTTATTCTCTGCCCGAAACTGAAAGAGAGCTTTACTGTTATAAACTTTATAAACACTTTCTGACACAAATGATAACAGGAAATTCAGAGGGTTTTTTTTTTTTTATTTTTTTGTTGAAATTCTTCCTGATTCATCACTATTTAAATACCTTTTCAAAACGGCGAGAAAAATGAAGCTTATGGTTTGTAATTAACACTTGAATGCAACGCAAAGTAAATCAGATTTAAAACAAATAAAGAATTAGGCTTCCTAATTACAAAAATTTTACCCTTAATGGCAAGGTCAGTTTATTTTATTTTTAAATCCAATATTCGCTTTTTGATGCTCGTTATATTTATGCATTATTAAAATCTCCACCTCATCAAAACTTGCTTCAAGATCACTACTAACTGCATTTTAGCGAATATTAATATTGTTTCTTACTCTTTGCAAAATACTTTTTACGCGAGTTATTGCATCCTTTCTCCAGAATTTAACAGCAAACTGTTATAGAATACATTTCTCAACTAATTTCCTTGTTAGAAAGGTAGGCTGATTTTCTAACTCCAAAAACTAGGTTTAACTCATAATATAAAAACAAAAACAATTTAAGTTTGAAATATTGTTTTATAGTTAAAAAGCAATCCACTGCGCTGGAACATTTATAATAATAATGCATCATGATTTCATGTTATGCTAAATGTTGTAAAGTATAAATGCTCTTTTTTGGGGTCTGAGACTTCGAAAAACTTTCTTCTCAACATCTTGTTTAAGTAAATTTAGTGTATATCTAAAATCTAAGCCAAGCTATATTTTGATTCTAGTCTTCAGATTTATAAAAGGCGTTTAAAAAAGTATTGCAACAATAAGAAAAAGGACCACCAAGGGAAAAAACGAAGTTCATTTGCTTACAGTTTAAATTTTATTCTAACATTAAATAAACTTCAAAATTTTACCAATATTAAGTGTGAATTTCACATACGAAGAACTTCTATCAGTGGGTGTAACGCGTAATTGCACAAAAAATAATTTTTCAGAATATTAAAACATCTAATGCAATTTAAACCTACAGCACAGAACTACCCTCAAATACATAAAACCGAAGTCTTGTAGTATATGTTTAAGTATTCTACCCTCATTGATTAAACGATTTTAATTTCAGGATTTTACTCTTGATTTCTACTTTCGTCAAGCTTGGACCGATGACCGGCTTTCGTTTACCCCGAGGACGGGATTCGAGAGCTTGACGGTAGGCGCCGAGGTCGCTGATCGAATTTGGGTCCCGGACACCTTTTTTGTAAACGAGAAGAGCGCCTATTTCCACAAAGCTACTACACAAAATACATTCCTCCGTATCTCCGCAGGTGGCGAGGTTTTTAGAAGTATAAGGTAAGCGAATTTGACTTCTTTTAACTAAAACTCATTAATATATCTTTTTAAGTGTATTAGTCAAAATGCAGAGAACATGACAACCCTTTTTAGAGAGATTTTTGTGTAACGACCTGTAAGTAGTCTTGTAGAGTCATTAGGTTAATTGGAAGCAGAAAAGATGAAAAATATGCAACCGCCTTCGCCGGGAATCGAACCACGAACCTCTGGAATACCGGTCCAGCGTGCTACCGTTACGCCACGAAGGCACGCTAGGGAAGTGGGAGAAATACCTTATATACTCCCATTTTTAAAGGGTGACTAAAGTTTTAGGGGACTTAGTCGCTAAATCCTGGGTGCGGAGAATCATCAGTCACAACCTTTTTAGTTCGGGGGCCACTTGTAGAGTCATTAGGTTTATTGGAAGCAGAAAAGATGAAAAATATGCAACCGCCTTTGCCGGGAATCGAACCACGGACGTCTGGAATACCGGCCCAGCGTGCTACCGTTACACCACGAAGGTACACTAGGGAAGTGGGAGAAATACCTTGTAGTCTAAATGCATTTCTTGAAGTAAACACTCTCATGTTCCTTACATTTAAAAGCACAACTACGAAAGTCGTTTTTTGAGAACATTAAAGGGGATAACTCAATAAAATGCATAAACTATGTCGCTTATAAATAATTCTAAGAATACACTGAGGGATATTCTCTTGCAAGTAAATTTTGTATAAAGCAATCAATGTTTTATAATATTGCGTTTACTAAAATACTTTGTTAAAAACGAATTTGTAAAACAATTTTGTAAAAACCGAATCAACGTCCCGAGTGAAAGTTAAAATTAGGGTTTTGGTGAGAAATTAAAATTTACATTCTGCCACTGTGCAATAACCAATTCCGTTTAACCAAAATACTCAGTTTTTACCTATCTAATAATTACCGTAAAAGATGATAATTACTGCTCTTACTTTCATTTTTTTCTGCTTAAAATATCAATGCGCGTGATGATAGACAGCTTCTCTAATCTTTCTTCAAAACCGTTTTTAGAAATGGCCAATAAAACGAGAGGAATTCTTTTTCAATAGTCTTAGTACAACCATAGAAATATAATCCTCAGTTGAGGAAACAGACAGTTTTGTCAGCGAATACTTTAAAAAGAACGGAAAAACATTTTCCTTCGAGCTCAACATAATATCGAATCGGATTCACCCACTGAGAAGCCTTTCCCCGAAAAGTAAAATGATTCTGCAAAATACTAAAAATAGTTCTAATACCAAGAATAGTTCTATCCTTCAAAGTAAATCCTTAAATACTTTGGAAGGATTTAAGTTTAGCTGTTGAAAAAAAAAACAGTTGGAAGGATGTTTCTTATCTTTTTAATGTTTGATAATCATAGCATTTCTATATTTAACGATTTAAGAGCTACAGATTAAAATAAACTGCAGACTTATAAGAACTATCAAATAACTTTTCTTAGAAATATACAAGCTCCATCAGTGTTTTATTCTTAAGTGTAATTTGAAATTAAAAGTGTAAACTTTCTCTCAAGCTCTCAAGCACACATGTAAGTGGATAATATATTTTACTTACCTCTACCGAAAATTTATTTGTTTGCTTAGGCTTAGAAGTTTCTTTTGAAATTAATTAAAACAAATGTTAGAAGTAACTGACGCTACAAACTTCGTTGACTAAAAATTACTAGTTCAAGGCTGAACAATTATATATTTGATCTTCCACTTTTAGTTTTAAATTTTAGATTAAATCCGTAAAGAGGCATCCATTGTGTACCTTCAACTAGGCAAAAAGTAGTCTTATTTTGAATAAAGTCTATCGATTTTATGACCTATATCGTTTTCGTTTCTTCAGCCCTTGCATACGATAAATGGTTGTCGCAATCTCAACCCTGGAAAGTTTTTGGTTCTGAGAGAATACCTGTATCTGAACGCCCTCAAAAAAAAAATAGTCAAATCGCAACCAACTTAATAGTTCCTTTTCCTTTTTAAATTTAAATTTATTTTCTTTTCTTGTTTTCACTATCAAATATTCGTATTTGAGTTTTTCTTACTAAGATTTTGAAAATATTTTTGACATTATGAAACTTCGCACAACGATTGAATTGCGAATATCATTTAGATTAATTAATGCAGCAATGATTTCGTGGGTTTGGGCGGACTACGTCAGACAAGTGAGCATAAGTAACAACAACAACAATACAGCAAATAGACAAATTAAACAAACAGATTAAGTCTGAAACATTTCGCTCCGTTTTCATCTAAGTATTGAATAACAATTACAACAAACATAATGCTTTTACGATTTACGACAAAAACATATATGGACAGAAAGTTATTCAGATATATAGAAAAGAAAAACGCAAAGGAAAAAGGCATCTTAATAATTAAGTTTAATAAAGCTAGCCTAAGATAAAATAACGCAACTACGCCCCTTACATTTTCATAAACGATCTTATTATATATATGTATGTATGTATAAGTATGTACATATTGCTTCTCTGTAAAAATGTAAGAAGAAAAAGATCAGAATCTACATAAATTAAAGCATATCGTTTCATATTCGCTTATTAGCTATAAAGCTCATTTTATCAAAGAAATCTTTTTCTTTTATTTTCAGGAGAGCTTTTACACATTTGCGTATTTTCAGTTTAAAATGTTATATCTAACTTAAGAATTTTGTCTTAGTGGGAGTTTCAGTCCTTTCAAGAGGATTTTTTTAAAGAGATGCGATGTTGCTTTATCCAATTACTTTATGATTTCTTCGCTGCATTGTTAGATAGATAGCTAGAGGTAAAATAGATAAATAAAGAGAGAGATGTATATGTAGAGAGAAAGATTTGCATCATAAAAGCGTTTACCAGTTTTTTCTCTATGTATATTTAGCATATGCTTACATACCCTAGCGCAGTTGATATTATTTTCGGTTTCACTTTCTTTCGAAAACATTTAGCCTTTCGATTACCTTTATATAAATCATGGAAACTAAATGAAAAATTTCTTTCGTTCATCACTAAATCTTTTAGTAATAAAATGGAAAAATCTTAAAATATTCAACAATCAAGAAAACAAATTGTTGAATATTTTAACATATTTCCTTCTATTGCAAAAAAGCTTTGTTAATGTATATATTGGAGAAAAACGAATGATTTTACTTTCTTCCTTCAAATTGCGTTGAGGATAAGTTGCGGAGCTGTCGTATTGCATTTGTTGTTGTGTTGCTTATGCTCACTTGTCTGACGTAGTCCGCCCAAACCCACGAAATCATTGCTGCATTAATTAAATGATATTCGCAATTCAATCGTTGTGCGAAGTTTCATAATGTCAAAAACGTTTTCAAAATCTTAGTAAGAAAAACTCAAATACGAATATTTGATAGTGAAAACAAGAAAAGAAAATGCAATTTAAATTTAAAATAGGCAAAAAGGAACTATTAAGTTGGTTGCGATTTTGACTACTTTCTTTATTTGAGGGTTCAGATACAGGTATCTCTCCTTCAGAACCAAAAACGTTTCCAGGGTTGAGATTAGCGACAACCATTTTATTCGTATGCAAAGGGCTGATAAAAATGAAAACGATCATAGTGTAATTAAAATCGATAGAACTTTATTCAAAATCTCTGTTAGTTTAAGACTACTTTTTGCCTAGTTGAAGGTACACAGTGGCTGCCTCTTTACGGATTTAATCTAAAATTTAAAACTAAAAGTGGAAGATCAAATATATAATTATTCAGCCTTGAACTAGCAATTTTAGATCACAATAACTCTCAGGTACATGCAAAGTTAATTTCAATGTTTAATACATCTGAAGCTGAAACAATGGAACATCCAAATTATTCTAATGCATATTAGGTGATAAAAAATCATGAAGAAGCTTTAGGCGAAATACGTAACATAGAATCAATAACGACATATTTACAAGTAGCATATTTATTATGTTGACTATATTAACCTTGTATATTTCAAAATTATATTTAAATACTTGGAACTCTTTCTTGTGAAATGTGAAGCGCTAGAAATCAAACAAACGTAACTTAAAAAATGTGTAAAAGTTTATTTATAGAACTAGGCCAAGTCATAAAAAACTTAATGGCTGAGCTGATCCAGAGGATAGACACAAGCTCATTTTTCTTCAGTTAGAAGGAATTATTAACACAGCTGTGTTATTTCCTGGTATTCATCTTCTACTCGTGGATTTCAACAGAATTTAATTAAAGCAAACCACAGAATGGAAATTTTAGAGTTAACATTTACTACTCGATGTGTACTTTTACGAATATATAAAAATAAACTGAAAATTTTGAATCAGTTGTTGCTTGAAAAAGCTAAGCTCCGTAAATCCAAAAACTCATTTCTCTCCACTATTAAAATCTTAGTCTTACCACGATTTAAATAGTAGTTTCGGGACTACGGCTTATGAATAGTTTTCCCTTTTTTAGTTTGCTGAAGACATGACAGGCTTCCTTTACTTCCTCGGATCTTTAATTCACATATTCGCATTATAATATATAAAGTTATTTTCTTATATAGTCATTAACTATAGACGCTTTTTTCTACCTGCTTTTTTTATAGTTATATAAAACCAACTAGCCATCAAGCTTATTATTCAGCGTTTTCAATGTATAATTTTGTTTAGAGAATAAAATATAAAATGCCCTTTGAAAAGAAAATAATTAATCATTCAAAAACGTCCTGCTTAAAAATATGTGCATCAAATGTTTTTATGTTTATAACACAGAGCAGTTATTTTTATGTTTATAACACAGAGCAGTATAATCTTTTAATCGCCATATAAATCCTTTCTTGTGTGGAAATTTAACAGGGAATTCTCAAGTGTTCATGGAAATAATGCAATACACTGCAAAGAGAGCAAAATCTTTAGCAAATCCCTTTTCTCTTATCCTAAATTACCTCACTAAGTTCAATAACTATTTCAGGTTTCCAAAAACTTCTTTTATTTCAGGAAGAAAAAACTTAATTTATTAATGTAATTATTGTGTACGAATTGCAA